CAGAAAGGGAAAATGGATATTTATAAGAGAAATATTAACAACTAGAATCTTTATGAGAAAAAGGCTGTAATAAAACAAAACAGTTGCTTTTAAGAGATGCAGGATTTATATAGAGCTTTATTACAAATCAGTTGCCTTGATTTTTTGGTGAGTGGGGCAGAGAAGCAAAATGGTATGATAAATGAACATTATATTTGGAGTCTGGAGATTGGGTTTTGAATTTTAACTGTTGTTCTTAATGACCTGAACTCTCAGTTTTCTTGGGTTTTGTTCTACTTTCTTTGGTTTTAATTCACTGTTCCTTTATAAATTTATTGTGAAAGATATATAAATGAATTATTTTCAGCCTTTTTTCTAATATATACATTTTCTTCTGGGTATAACTTAAATTGCATCCTACAGGTTTTGATTTGTCATCTTTTTATTGACAATTAGTTAAAATTGTTTTCTAGTACCTGTTGGGATTTCTTCTTTGATCCATGATTATTTAGAAGTGTACTACCTACTAGTCAGAGAATATGGTTGATTTTAATTTTTTGTAAGCTACTGAGATATTAATTTCTTACACGTATGATTATTTACTTTTTTGGTATATATGTTCTATCAGATAAAGCTATATTAAACTCCCACTATGATTGTGGATTTATCTATTTTATTTTTTTAGTTCTGTTACTTTCTGCTTTATATGGTTTGAAGCTATGCTCTTATAGACATTCAAGGTTAGAATCATTATATCTTTTTGGTACAGTGTATAGTAATCCTTTTATATCATAGCTTCATGCTTTATATATATTGGTATATTTATATCAATTTTCTCTTGGTTACTGTTTGCATGTTAATATTTTCATGCTTACATTTTCTATCTTTCTATATCTTTATATTTAAAGTATGTCTCTTATAAGCAGCATTTTTAAATTAACCTATTTGGCAATCTTTGTATTTTAATTGGAGTGTTTAGTCCTTTTATGCACTTAATGTAAATATTGGTTATTTGGAGTTAAATCTACTATTTGTTCCAGAAGTTCTTTATTTCTTCTAATTTCTTGCCCTTTTTGTATTAATTTTTATTATTCCATTCCTCACTATTGTTAGCTTATTATTTATCCATTCTTTTACAGTTGTTTTAGTTTTTGCCCTATGGATTAGAATATTTATTAATTATTTGTAAAACTCTAATATAAGTTAGTGTTTTTACCATTTCCCAGACAATTCAAAGAACTTAGAATGCATTAACTTAGAATGCATTAACACTATTTAAAACCCTCCCATCGTTTGTTTGCTATTGTTGCTATTGTGTATTTGAATTCTATGTATACAGGCAGTCCTTGCTTTGCATGGTTCCCATATGCATGAGGTTCAGTTACCATTAATTAGTTAAATTTAAATAATAACTGGTTCCAACCACATGGTTCAAGTTTGTTACCCCAGTATATTAACTATGAGTAATTGCATAAAGTACAAACTTTGCTGCCAGATCTTCAGTCAACGCATAACTATGTAAGTAACAGATGCACATGATGATAGGTGATCAATTACACCGCTCCTTTCAAAGTCATTGGTGATAGGTCACCGAGCATCTATTACTCAGTTCATACACAAACAACAAGGTGTGCAGTTGTGTTGCCTCCATGACTCTCAGTGATAAACCCACACAACATTTTATAAAAGAGGATAATTGAAAGAGGTAATTGACCAACAAAGATGGAAGAAACAAAGAAACAAAATGTGATAGTGCTGGAAATGAAATTTGAATAAATGTAAATAGAGTCATAGAAACTGCTAACCATGGGAACGTCCATACTGCTACCATTTGAGAGACTCTAGACATTTAATAAGAGGAACTTAAGTGAAGGTGCCTTATTGACATAAATAAGAAAAGTGGTTGTGAATAAAAGAATGAAGATGTCCCCAAAGAAATGATGCTGGTAAAAAAAGAACTTACATTAAAGGGACTCTCAGAAATATTTTGACATTGAAAGAACAGAGGATAGATATTGGAAGCTGATCCAGACCTAGAAAGGAGTATGACAATTTGCCAAGACAGTGACGTGATACTCTCTTGTAAGTTATATATACAAGAGAGAAAAATTTGTGTGCTATTCAAACTACTCTTGATAAGCTTTTTAGAAAGAAATAAAACATTTTACTTCTAAATGCTTCTAACGTTTAAAATTACAATGTGCTAAAAATATTAGTTTTACTATTTTTATTTTCCCCATGCATTTATAACCCAACAGTAAGAGAGATTTTAATGTTTTGACAAGAATTTTTGTCACAAAATGTAATCTTTTTTCCATTGATTAAGATCGCTTTGCACAGTTTCAGCATGCACAGTTTTATGATCCAACACTATCATGCAGAGCAAAGACTGCCTGGTTTTTAAACCCCATAAGACGTTTTGTTTTGTTTTGTACAGTCAAGTTTAATTTATATTTAGCTCTTTTTGTTCGTTTGTTTTTGTTTTTTGCTTTTCATTTCCTCCTGTACCTCTGTGCTATCAGGTGGGATTATTTTCCTTTTGCCTTAATAATTCCCTTTAGCAGTTTCTTTAATATGAGCCTAATGGTGATGAATCCTCTCAGCTTTTGTTTACTTGAAATGTCTTTCTTTTGTCTTCAATTTCAGAGAATCTTTTTGTTAGGTTGGCTGATATTTGCTGTTGTTATTTTTGTGGTTCTCCTTTTTGCAGATATCTTACTTTTTGCTTTGTGGATTCCATCATTTCTGTTGAAAAGTCAGCTTTCAGTCATGTTGTTACTTCTTTGAAAGTATTATGTATTTTTTTCCTCTGGCTGCTTCTTATGATTTTCTCTTTCTTTGATTTTTTAGCACTTTTACTATGATGTGCCTTGTTGTGGTTTTCTTTGTATTTATCCTTTAGGGGTTTGCAGTACTGCTTACATTTGTGACTTGATGTCTCATGAATTTTGGAAATTTTCTTTCAAATATTGCTTCTTTCATTCTTTCTCTTCTTTTTCTTGGGATCCAGTAATAGGTATGCTAGACGTTTTAGTGTGCCACGTATTTCTTTTTCTCTGCATGCTTCAGGTTGGATAAATTCTTCTGACCTAACTTCTAGGTTACTTACTCTCTTTTGACCTATGCATATCTGTTGTTAAACTCATGTATTTAGGTTTTATTTTAGTTATTGAATTTTTAAACTCTAGAGTTTCCATTTGATCCTTTCAAAAATATTTTCCAGTTCTATTCTAAAATTCTCTATCTTGGCAATTAAATTTTTGAATGTCTTGATCATAGTTATTTTAAAGTCTGTCTGATAACCCCAATATTTGAATCTCTTGTGGATCATTTTCTGTTGTCTGTTTTCCTCTTTTGATTTTTGCCATAAATTCTTTATTTTTAATTTTTTTTTTGTATGTTTGGTTATTTTTTATTGAAAGCTGAGCTTTAGTCTTTGTGAGGACTGATCTATTTCCCATTATACCATACTTCTGGGATGAAGCTCTTTTTGGCATCCCAGCTACAATCCTTGGGTGTTTACTAGGAACCATCTCCTTAGTAAGCCTTGAACTCCAGTTTTTATTTCCCTAGCTCTATGAGACTGCCTAAACCTCTGGGCAGCCTCTCAGCTGTTGTTTACAGTTTAGAAAATACTTCAAGAGGAAAGTAATCAAATGTTGTTTTGGGGATTTGCTTCTCTCCCCTTAAGTTCTTGCTGCCTTCATAACACTCAAATACCATTAAACAGATTTTTTTTCCAGCTCCTCTAGTTGTTTTCAAACCAGTGGTTGATATAATAATGTCCGCTAGCCTACCATAGCTGGAGACAACTTTCTGGGCCTCAGTATTCTTAACACATTATTGTCCGGGGGATTTTTGCAGAAACTAATACCTGTGGCCGTAATACGTCTCTGGTCAAAAATGTGTCAAAGGCAGCATACTGTATTACATAGGGAAAG